TAATTGTCAAAAGGTCCATGGACGATTGTTTTCTGTTTAACAGGGAAAAAAGTTATGCAAGTGGCAAAACCTTTACGATGGATGGTACAGCTGTATGTTGAAGTTTAGATGGGAGCATATATTGTATCTAACAATCTCGTAATAGTTATGTGATTCAGCAGATAATATTGAAAACCTGCATAAGTTCATATCGATTTGGAAAGCAATATTTTTTCCATTTTTTTTTCTGTTGAATATATCTTAACGATTGAGAGATATCGGTTCACGGGATAGTTTACTGTCCTTGTTTTCTTACAGACAGATCAGACTTCCTATACCGTAGCGGAAGGTTCCTCGATCGACGTCTTAGTGACTCTGACTGTCCCATTAGGATGTGCTTATCCTATCAATATGGCAGCTGAAGAGTAAGCATGTTCGATAATAAAAACATATATATTTTTAGTTTTTATTTGTTTGTAGGTTGTGTCATTTATGTGTGTTTGTTTGTTAACCGTTACTATCTATATAAACACAATGGTAACCCACTTAAACAGACAACACGTTAATTCTGTTAGTATGCTTTGTATAAGTTAACATAATATTTTTAATATGGAGGACTTCTGCTGTAACCTTCTACATACAGTTAAAATTTTGGCTTGATTGATATAGTTCTCCCGAGACCAGGTAATCTTCCGGAAAACGTGCATTATCATGAAAGACTATGCTTATCTGTTTTCTTATACCGATATGAAAAACACACTTAAATAGCATTCCAACCGCAATATATCTGCTCGTTCAATGCCGTCTGTAACACGATACCTGTTGCAGGTGGCATGATCATGCGGAAACAAATTGTAGAACAGAAATGCGCATCCAGACGCCAGATCAGACAGACACTGTCCAATGCTCCTCAGGAGGTGTTAGCAACGAACCAGTAACTTTTGATGATAATAACTGCGGCGTTCGCATAACTCCTAATGATTGGGCTACCACAAAGTCCCTGAAGGTATACGGTGCATCAGACAACATAGTGAATTTGGGAGTTCGTTCTTCATATATACGTTTGAAGATTTTCGACAGTCTCTTGTATCACCCGGCTTGGAACAGTGCTTCAATACCAGACATATTAGTAAGTTTTGAACGCGGTATATGATTCATATAATTATATAAAATGCATTATAACTATTTTGAATAATGTTTGCTTGAAAGCATGATGCAAATCACATTTTATAGACAGCTGGCAGTTGTACAATATGCGCGAATATAAAGAGGGTATTTAGAAGAGAGGGTAGTACGGATGTTAAAGATTGTTTTACATGTTTGTGAGTATTTTTACAATATGACAAAGTAGCACAATGTATTTTATAATAGGGGAGTGGAGATCGAGAAGAGGTAATAAGACTATATTATCTGCAAAATTATCAGATGTGTGTCAAGTGACTGAATCCGTTTATTTAACTTAACGAAAATGACATCTCCATTGCAGCATGGTTATACCTTTCTCAATATGATTTCCATACAATCTCAGTTGTAAACAGTGTTAAAAAATAGAAAAATGGAATTTTTAAGGTTATTTAGATTAATCACTGTATAGTACTTAATGTTTGCGGGTGTTTAATTTCGCCATGTTTGCGGTAAGGTTTTGCAGTGTAAAATAGGATACCGCGCAAAAAAAAGTACTGCAAATTATTTAATCAAACCCACCATCAGACCATAGGAATATCTCTACAATCATGCAAATTCTATTCTTTTATTTAAAAAGCAGTGAAGCACAGTCGATGCATTTAATTACAACGTGGCATGTGCAAATGATCATGTGATCATGTCGGAAGTAGGTTCTCGTACTTTATTTCCGGAAAACCCGAGAGTGTTTGAATAAGCGGACTGCGAAATGAAGACATTTGAGTGCTTTGAAATGAAATACACGCAAAACAGTGCCCGAGATTTATAGCAGAAAATATAAATACAATTACAATATTTAATGTGAGTGAGTGTGCTTTTCCTCTAGACGTTAATGGATTGCTATCTTTGCTTTTAACTAGCATTGCATTTAACTAATTTATATATACATTTGTCCTTGATACTTTACAACGTGTTTAAGGTCGGGGTTGAAGATGCAGATTACATCGTATTGTCCAATGAATGCTATAGCAATAATGACCCCCACATGAGAACGTTTGATAGACGGTAAGTACATCTGTCCCCGTCTTTTCATTTGTAATGCATCCATCTGTTTAGTTTTAGGAAATGAACCCGTCTGTTTCACTTGTAATGTTTCCGTCTAGTATTGGTAATGAATCCGCCTGCTGGGTTGTAATGAATCCGGCTGCTTTATCGTAATAAATCCGCCTGATCGATTGTAATGAATCCGCCTGCTCGATTGTAATGAATCCGCCTGCCTGATTTTAATGAATTCGCCTGCTTGATTGAATCCGCCTGCTTGATTGTAATGACTTTGCCGGCTTGATTGTAATGAATCCGCCTGCTTGAATGATCGTGATGATTCCATCTATTCATTGGTAATTATTATGTTTATTTCCAATCAAAAAGCAAATGTATGATTACTCATATTTCACGGTCGATTGTGACTGTTGTTGTGAATACCTCTTTATCATCTTGGGAGTTTGATTGCGAAAGTAACAATATTAAAGTCGTTACTGTATGTGTATGACCAGTATATTATGATGTAGCATTCCAAATTGTCGATCATCAAGACTTCGCATAAGCTGAATGGTTATTTTTCAGACGATGGGAAAACCAAAGGCTAGGTGAATTTGTGTTGTATCACAACCCGCAGAAACTGTATTGGGTAAGTTGAAATACATAATTGTATATTTGCCGTCTTATTTTAGGGACCTTCAATACATTGAGTATTTACGTCAATTATGTAACTACGAAACATCGCTCCAAGGGAAAAATCACAAACTGAGGTTGCATTTTAAATAGATGCCATTCCAGATCATATTTGAATATATATTCACAGGTTTTTGTATTTGGTACAAAAAGTTTTTGTTATTAAAGTTCAACATCACAATTAGAGGTCAACGTTTCAGTTCCATGGATACATATATACGGTGGAAGTATTTTATTGGGTCTAGCTAAAGTTATTAAAGGAATCACAAAGACAAACTATGTTTCAAAGTTTAGAAAAAAAGACAGGCATATAAGTGCATAAAGCTATACTTGGGTTTCTTCTGCATGTTCACGCTGGTCGAAAAAGCACTTTCATATTTGGCAAACAAATTAATCTATCACATTAATGAAGGCATATAATATAGTTGCACTCGCTTTTACTTTACATAAGCTATTGTCCCTTTTCCACATAAGTTAACCATCGCTTATCATACATGCTTATATTCGCTTATAGATAACTTAAAAATTTACTACCAAATTTTGACATGAGTTGAATATTTTTCGGTATATCTCCATTAACGATTTGTTAGAAAAAAATGAATATATTGTCATATATACTGTACGTTTTATAATATATCTACTTCTTAATCTGTAAAAGCTTAGCTCTCCTAATAGGTTCATGCGATGTACCAGACATGTTACAATAATCATGGTGGGCCTACATGCAACTGTGGAGCAGCAGTTAGAAATAACGATGCGGTATTCGTCGCCAACTTTTGCGATGCAGAAATTGGCTGGTTTACCAGTGGAACACAATCCAATCAATATGTAGAGCAGTCATTCTGTGATGACACCCACATGATAATTTACAAGAACGGAAACAGTTATACGGTAAGCAGTTATGCAACAATGTCTTGTATTAGTCTTTTCGTTGTGTTAAGTACTCAACAAAGTTTATCTTCAAATGTAATTTCCACTTTAGTGCCATAGCTTTTGTAGATAACATGCTTTTACAGTTTGAACATGATGCTGTAGAAAAAACAATATTTATTTGTCTATATGAATGCATTTCCGTTATCTTAAGTTGATTTTAATTATTTCTATTGGTATAGCGTTGGGTATAAGTATGAAGAACAGAAAATGTCAGAGAAAAGTAACAAGTGAAAAAATATCAAATTAATGAATTTGAATTCTGCTTGGAGAACTAGTATGTCAGAAAATAATAACAGCTTTATCTAAAACTATAGAAACGATTAAAAGAGAAGAAAGTAATTGTTTCCGAAATAAACCAGTAAATTCAAATTAATTTTCATACCAGGATCGATTATTTCTGTTCACAATGTAGTGTGAATTTTGAAATCCATACTAAATTTGAAAAGTAAAAAGGTCTCAGGGAAGCCAAATTGATCAGCTTCTAAAAAGTTCCTTAACTGGTATTTGATCAATCACGAATAAAGTTAAATATTTCAGAAATGAAATAATTGGTTTGCTTTATTTTCAGATAACACTTCCTACGGGAACACAGATTTCGTTTGGTTACTCCTTTTCATCGCGGCACGATAGAGTATATATAAACGGTATATCTATAAAGCCATCTCTTGCTGATTGGAAAACGTCGTCGGGATTGTGTGGATATTTGGATGGTAACCAAAACAACGACTTTAGAACTAAGAATGGAGGGACGTCAACTAACGAGGAAACATTTGCACTTGATTGGAAGTCAGTATGATGTCAGAACAAACAGTCATTATAACATTATTTAATCATAATGTGATACTTATTATGAATTATTGTCTGATAAAAATGAGTATATTTTAAGGATGGAAGAAATCAAAGATATATATACAATTATTTAACATTAAAAAGCACGCATCCAAATTAATAATTTCACTTTATATTCAACATATTAGAGAGAGGCCCCCTGTTTAATATTTGTTAACATTTCTTTTTTTTCGGTGAGTAGACATGTATATGTACATCATCAGTGGTCAATATTGCTTCTTTATTATCAAATAGGATTCACGCTAGAGATCTAGAGTGTATTTAAACAAGTGCGATATCCTCTTCATTGATGCAATATTGAATATGCTATTGTGAAAATCAATATAATATACTTATTCTTATTTTTGTTATTTATATTAATCAATACAATTTGCTTTATGTTTTAGGATAACTCAAAACAGCGAGAGTTTATTTGGTAATATCAATTTGACAGATGCAAGCCTAACATTGCCGCGATATTGTAAATGTAGATCGAACTCACCTTTATATTCAGATTTCAACAATACGATAGAATGCTCAATCAAAACAGAAACGGTGTTGTGCTCATATACGCATACTGATAGCTTTTTTAAAACCTGTGATGAACCGTCCAGAAGCGAGCGTTCAACTTCACATCACATACAGAAACGATCTTTAAGAGATGTTCCATCGAAATTCAAAATCGTGTACGCACCTGATGCTGATGTGGTACCTGAGGTAAAATGAAATTAACAAATGTATTTGCTTTACAAAAATTGCGGCAAATTCAGACTATATAATTTGTTGCTCTTGATATGGAAGTAATATGTTTACAAGATTTTTTATAGTATATGGGATGTCTGCGTGTGTGGAGCATATGTGTGTGTGTGTGTTTATATATCAGTAAGTTTTGTAAGTGCATCCTGGTCCATTAGTCACCACTGAACATATGACATTAGAAAGCGATGAAAAGTTGGTTGTACATTTGCATACGAGTTTTGTTTCCTGGGTAAAATATCCACTTAAAGTATCAAAACGTTTTTTTACATTGTCGAGAAAAAAGTTAATTTTAGATATTATCACCAACCTAATCTTATAATTAATCCTTTTCATTTATGAATAAAAAAAATATACAATGCCAATTTATAGAAATGCTCCACATCACTGTTTTCCTCAAAGAATTATTTTCAACATTGTACTTGCGACATGCAGAAAATTTGAAATCCATTAAATCAACGAAATAATCACTGTAAACATATCATATACAACCATTGTTTAAATTTGTATGCTTTTTGTTGAAGCCTCCGACATGGAGGAATGGGTGGAATGAAACTTTGGCGGAAGAAACTTGCAGAACATTTATACAGAAACAGGAATTTTTGAAAAAGTGTGAAGAGTTGTTAGAGGCAACAGCCAATGACAATGACGAAGGCGTTCAATCCTGTATCAGCGATATCAAGGTAACAATGAACACCATTGTTATTATCTTAATATCATAAATCATGGTGCATTTTTTGTCACACATTTAGATCAAGCTACAACTTAAGTACATACTAGGACCGTTAGTTCATAACATTGATATCGTTGTGATATATCAAAATACACTGTATACACACTAGAATACACAAGTTGTGGTTTTACCAAGAGAAGAATCAAACACTTATATTTACGTGGTCCATCAAAGGTCAAGGTCATTATAAATAAAAGGTAGAATTTTTCCCGAATTTCAGACCAAATGAATCCACTAAGCTAAGGATTGTCCTAAAGCAGAGGAAAAGTCATATTTATTTCCATGTGGTATGTCAAAGGTTCGATGTTGCTTTAACAGTATTGTTAGAGCAACATTTACCAAACAGCTTCCAACTTAAATGGAAAAGAAAATATTTCATAAGCACAGTTCCTTCATGCAAATAATTTATTTATCAACAGAAATTGTTGCTTGAGTTTTCGTTGCGATTTGCTGCCCTGGTGGCTTTCTAGTAAAAAAATACTGGAACCCTTATAGTGCTGAATAATCTATTGAAAATGATATTCGAAAGCAATAATAGAGTAAATGAAGCAATCTCGTAACAATCAGAACATTGCTAAACTAACCTTCTAGGCTTCGATCTTTAAATAAGTATAACCGTATTGGTAATCAAAAAGGATGACAAGGTACTTTAAACATTAGTTAAAATATCTAATATAATAAATATAAATGAAGATTTACATTCTTAAAATTACTCGTATGTTATTTTAACTGTTCCAGCTAATGGGGAACACTCAGTTTATGCAGTCTACAGCTGATAATCTGGCCAGAAGTTGTCGAATGACAGCACTTAAGCTAGAAAACCTCACTCAGACAACAGCGGCTGATGGTACAGCAGGCCAGACAGTGTTGGACGTTTTGTTAAATCTCGACTGTAGAAATAACTGTTCAGAAAACGGAATTTGCCAACAAGGTAAGTCTCGTTTATACATTCATTGTGGTCTCTGTTAGCTATTGTACGTTGTTTATTAATAAATATATGTTTGTTAACATTGTATCTCCTGTTGTAAAACTCAAAGATAACCCATTTGACATTCATACCAGTAAGACTATTATCGAGAATAATAGCATGCCCATACCGACCATTTACAGCAGTCAACTCTTTACTCTACGTTCTAGTGCAATAGCTTTTTGGCAGTTACTCGCCGAATATCAACAGACCAAATTTTAACTAATTCAACTTCAATTGTTGAGTCGCCCTGTAAATTCAGAAAAAACAACTAATTAGGGTTTTTTACCATCAAGTGATCATAATTCATATGAATAGGTCCATGATATTTAGTAATGAGTATTCTTGAACGAAATCCTTTAAGGCGATTTTCCTGAATGGCCTTCCTTGCACTGAATATAACTTTTGACAGTGACTGTCAAATTCCATCTTCGAATCATTACAACTTTGGGACTGTGTAAGGACTTTTAGAAATGAGCTTTATATTGAACGGAAAGAAAAGTGTTCTTTCAGTACTATGATTTAGGTTATACGTTTTGCTATAAAGGTTAATGACCACTAAGTTACAACAACTTGTTCTCATTACAATAACTTAAATTAAATGTTCTTCTGTGTGTTATTTCACCGATACATTATGACGGCAAGCGTCCTTATATAAATGTTTTCATTAGCTGCAGATAGATTATTTTTTTTATTCGATTTTAAATTTTTAGTCACCTGCCCGAAGGTCAAGTGAGCTTACGCCATGTCGCAGCGTCCGTCGTCCGTCGTCCGTCGTCCGTCGTCCGTCAGTTTTCCGTCCGTCCGTCAACTTTTCCTTTAAAACGATACTAGTCCTTTATGGCTTAGGGGATTTTAACTAAATTTGGTTTTGAACATCCTTGGGCCAAAGGCACTCAATTTGGTATAAACGGTGTGTGTCGCCCCCCTTGGGGCAGTGGCCGGATCCAAATAGGTGAAATGTAGGTAAAACATTTAAAATCTTTTTTCTACCGTAGGGATTAAGGCATTATATCCTTGGACCAAGGGGACTCAATATTGTATAAACTGTGGTCGTGGCCCACCTGGGGGCAGAGGCGCGGGGTCAAATATAGGAAATAGAGATAAACTTTCAATAAAATCCATCTTCTGTCGTAGGGATTATAGGATGTTATCCTTATTTAGTCTGGAGAATCCTAGTGCCAAGGGGACTTAATTTTGTATAAACGGTGAGTGTCGCCCCCCTTGGGGCAGTGGGGCGGATCCAAATAGGTGAAATGTAGGTAAAACATTTAAAATCCTTTTTCTACCGTAGGGATTAAGGCATTATATCCTTGGACCAAGGGGACTCAATATTGTATATATAAAGGTAAAAATCTTATAATAAAATCCTTCATCTACCGTAGAGATTAAGGGATTATATATTAATTAAGTCTGGAGCACCCAAGGGCCAATGGGACTTAATTTTGTATAAACTGTGGTTGTGGCGCACCTGGGGGCAGAGGGGCGAGGTCAAAAAGGGGAAATTGAGGTAAAAACCTTAAATTAGATTGTTCCTCTACCGTAGCGATTAAGGGATTATATCCTAATTTAGTCTGGAGCTTCCAAGGGCCAAGGGGACCTAATTTTGTATAATCGGTGATTTTGGCCCCCCTGGGGGCAGAGGGACAGTGCCGAATAGGTAAAATAGAGGTAAAACCTTAAATAAAATCCTTCTTCTACCGTAGGAATTAAGTGATTATATCCTTATTTAGTCTGGAGTACCCTTTTGTGTAAACGGTGGGTGTGGCCTCCTGGGGGCAGAGGGATGGGGCCATATTAGGGAAATAGAGGTTAAACCTTAAATAAAATCCTTCTTCTACCTTAGGGGTTGTGGATTTTATCCTAAATTAGTCTGGAGCATCCTAGGGCCGAAGGAACTCAATTTTGGATAAACGGTGGATATGGTCCCCCTGAGGGAAAAGGGGTTGGGACATATTAGGGAAATAGAGGTAAAACCTTATATAAAATCCTTCTTCTACCGTAGCAATTAAGTGATTATATCTATATATGTAGGGCTACATCGATATTATCCAAATTTAGTCTGGATCATCCTAGGGCCAAGGGAACTTAATGTTGTATTACCCATGGCTGTGGCCCCCTGGGAGCAGAGGGGCGGGCCATATAGGGGAAATAGAGGTTAAACCTTTAAAATCCTTCTTCTACCGTCGGAATTAAAGAATTTTATCTTAATTTAGTCTAGAGCATTTTTTTATAAACGTTTGGTGTGGCCCCCTGAAATAGAGGTAAAACCTTATATAAAATCCTTCATCTACCGTAGGGCTAAATGGCGTTTATCCAAATTTAGTATGAAGTATTCTAGGGCCAAGGGAACTAAATTTTGCATAAACGATGGGTGTGGCCCCTTGAGTGAAGAGGGTTAGGGCCACATTAGTGAAATAGAGGTAAAAACCTTAAATACAATCCTTCTTCTACTATAGGGCTAAATGGATTTTATCCTTATTTAGTCTGGAGCGTCCTAGGGCCAAGGGATATTAAGTTTGTATAACCCATGGCTGTGCCCCCCTGGGGGCAGAGGGGCGGGGCCAAATAGGGGAAATAGATGTTAATCCTTTAAAATTCTTCTTCTACCGTAGGAATGAAAGGATTTTATCCTAATTTAGTCTGAAGCATCCTTAGACCAAGGAGACTCAAAATTGTATAAACTGTGGTTGTGGCCCACCTGGGGACAAAGGGTCGGGGCCAAATAGGGGAAATAGAGATAAACCTTAAATAAAATCCTTCTTCTGTGTTCTGTGTAGAGATTAATAGATTTTATCCTAATTTATTCTGGAGGCGGGGCCAAATATGGGAAATAGAGGTTAAAACTTCCTCAAACGTAGGGATTTAGGGATTTTATCCTAATTTAGCCTGGAGCATACTAGGGCGAAAGGGACTCAATTTTGTATAAACTTTAATTGTAGCCTCCCTTTGAGCAGAGGGGCGGGGTTGAATAGAGGTAACAGAGGTAAAACCTTTAAAATGTTTCTTCTACCGTAGGACTTAAAGAATTTTATCGGTATTTAGTCTGGAGCATCCTTGGGCCAAGGGGACTCAATTTTGTATAAGCAGTGAGTATGGCCCCAATGGGGGCAGAGGGGCAGTACCCAATAGGGGAAACATAACAAGTTCTTCAAAATCCTTCTTCTTCTGTAGGAATGACAGGAATTTAACCAAATTTGGTATAAAGAACCCTTGTTGAAGGGAAACCTATTTTGTAAAAACGGTGGGTCTGACCCCCCTAGGGGCAAAGAGGCGGGGCCCAATAAGGGATATAGAGGAATAACTTACGTATCCTTCTTCTTCCGTTCGGATGAAGGTATTTTGACCAAATTTGAACAGTAGCGTGCTATGGGGAAGGGAAATCAGTTTTGTATAAATGGTGGGTTTGAACTCCCTAGGGGGCAGAGTGGCGGGGCCAAAAGGTAAAATGCAACAATAGATTTAAAACCCTTGTTCTTCTGTAGGAATGACATGATTATGTCCATATTTAGTGTAAAGCATCCTTTGGTGAAGGGGAGTTAATTTTGTATTAACGGGGGTTCTAATCCTCCTTGGGTAGAGGGGCGGGGCCCAATATGGGAGTTATTTAGCAAATTCTTGAAAACTCCCCTTCTTTGGTTGGAATGACAGGATTTTGTCCAAATTTGGGATGAAGTACCCTTGGTTGAAGGGGAACCAATTGTGTATAAAAGGTGGGTCTGACTCCCCCCCCCCCCCCCCCCCACACACACACCCCACTCGGGGCAGAGAGGAGGGGCCCAAGAAGGGATATAGAGAAATATCTTTAATATCCTTCTTCTTCCGTTGGGATGAAGGTATTTTGATCAAATTTGAACAATAGCATCCTATGAGAGAGGGAAATCAATTTTCGTATAAATGGTGGGTTTGAACCTCCTAGGGGGCAAAGTGGCGGGGCCAAGTAGAAAAAAAAAATCCTTCTCCTTCTGTAGGAATGAAATGATTATGTCCATATTTGGTCTAAAGCATCCTTGGGTGAAGGGGATCTAATTTTGTATCAACGGTTGGTCTAATCCTCCTTCGGGCAGAGGAGCGGGGCCCAAAAGGGGACTATAGCAAATTCTTCAAACCTCTTTTTCCTGTAGTAATGACAGGATTTTTTCCAATTGCATATACATATAACCCCTGGGTGACCATGTAATACATGTACACTTCCAGCAACTTATGGCTATTTCAACTTCAATTTTGCTAACATTTCCAGGTGAGCGATATATGCCATCTGGGCCTCTTGTTCTTTTTCACTTTGCTTTTTAAGAACAACTCAATGAGCGCAGCAAACGTGATGTGGCTTTTAAAATGCCATTGAATATTATTCGTCGAAAGACCTCTGCATTAGAATATGGAATAGACAAATATTTTGAATTTCAATAACCTTGGAAATGTGGGGGTTTAATGATTTAATGTAGTGATTGGTTATTTTCTTTATACCAGGAGAATGCCAATGTTTTGACGACTTTGAGGGTGATGAATGTTCCACGAAACCATCACTGCCTCCCGTTGTGTCTCCAAGGACAAACCCAGGACTGTGTAAACGTGAGGTGTACCCTTGTAACACCTTCTTCATTTCAGGATCAAACTTTGCAAAGGAAAATATGACATGCAAGGCGGCTCATTTCACGGTGAGATTTAACTATGTATCAGACTGTGATTTCATCATCCGAGCTCATATAATAATATTTGCTATTCTTAATCTAATTAAGTACATATCAATTTATGATAATATGCAGTATATGCATCATTTGATAAATTAAGCATACATATAACTCTAGTTTTCTTTTAACTATTCTGTAAAACTTGGCAATTGCTTGTTATGAATATAAATATGAATACCTGTGACACATTACACTGCTACCAGTAAATTGCCATGATAACTTATTATCAACAATGCAAATGTCTTGATCGATGATTTTATTGTTGAAATTTGTAGACGAATATTGCAACAGAATATCAGTATCCTAGTAGGGGCCGAACAGCGACTTTTTTTCCTTTCCTCTCGGATTGTATTCTTAGTCCTAGAGTTAAATTGATACAATGGAGATTGTAGGAAAGAGATGATATTTCTATCTGATTTTTCAATTTTCACATTCTGTGTAATTACGCTGAACACTCACAATCATCATAATATGAATGTAACTTGTCTGATCAGATTGCTTTTATAAAACGACATTATATATTATGTCGATAATATTTCAAGTTCAAATACCAGTCTTTGGCTGAATTGTCTGTAGCAGAAAAACATTGAAACTATTGTGAATGGAAAATCCAATGGAGAAAAAATGTTGTCAGCGAATATCTATCATAAATGTGTTTCTATATGCTGTCAAAGGAGACATCCTTTTTTCTATTTTGTTTCCTATTTTGAGTGTAGATCACAGATGGCGGTTATATTATGACCTCGGCCAATGACACATTCCCAGCCAATTTACTAGTGGGCGGGTCCGGATGTTCGTGTTCACTCAGCGACGCTTTGAGAGGGGCAAAGCATTCGACAGATGAGAATCCTGTTGTGGCAGAGGGATTTTTTCTGAGTGTGGCTAATGATGGAATCACGTACAGTGATGATATCGTCGTCATTATTTACGACTCCTCGTGTCAGGAGTGCAATAGAACGACTATCTCGTGCGTCGAATTTGTGAGTACTTTATTAGGGCCCCTGCATCGAAGATGCGGGTGCCCTATATTATTCAGTTTGTCCGTCCGTCCGTCCGTCCGTCCACACATTTTGTTTGCCGGCTGATAGCTTTGGTATTTATTTACGGATTCACATGAAACTTGGTCAAGATGTTCAGTTAACAAAAATACACACTGAGGTAAAAAGTCAAGGTCAAAGGACAAGGTCATTAGACTCAAAGGTCCAGGTAAAATTTTGCATCTTTTCTCTGATGAACATTTTGTTATGACATGATGAAGCAAAATTAATCAGAATTAACAAGGAGTCAACTGACCAAAGGTCAAGGACATTGGGTCAAGGTCAAAAGTCAATGTAAAATTTCGTAGCTTTTCACTAATTAGCATTTTATGACATCGTCAAGTTGGTCGGAATTAACAATCACTCACACTGAGGTAAAAAGTCAAGGTCAGAGGTCAAGGTCATTAGGTTCAAAGATCAAGGTCAAATTTTGCATCTTTTCACTGATGAACATTTTGTTATGACATGATGAAGCAAAGTTGATCAGACATACAAATGAGTCAACTGACAATAGGTCAAGGTAATCGTGTCAGAGGTCAAGGTCACTGGGTCAAAGTCAAATTTTGTAGCTTTTCACTAATGAGCATTTTATGACATTATGAAGAGTCAACTGACCAAAGGTCAAGATCACTGGGTCAAAGGTCAAGGTTAAGTGGTGTATCTTTTCACTGATGAACATTTTGTTATGACACTATGAAGCAATGCTGGTCAGAATTAAACAAAGAGTCATTTGATCAAAGGTTAAGGTCACTGGTCAAAGGTCAAGGTCGAATTTTGTATCTTTTTACTGATGAACATATTGTAATGACGTTATGAAGCAGAGTTGGTCGAAATTTAACAAAAAGTCAACTGTCTTAAGGTCAAGGTCACTGGGTCAATGACAAGGTAAAATATTGTATCTTTTTACTGATGAGCTTTTTTTAATGTTATTATGAAGCAAAGTTGTTCAGAACTTAACACGGAATCAACAGAACTAAGGTCAAGGTTACGGGGTCCAAAGGTTCAAGGTCAATACAAGTTTTGTATTTTTTACTGATGAACATCTTGTTATGATATTATGAAGCAAACTTTGTCGGAATTAAAGAATAAGTTAACTGACAAAATAATTACAGATGCATTAGTATATTATCTGAGTAATTAATAGGATTTAGATTTTGTTAAAAAATGGGTTACTTTCCAAATATATTTCTCTTAATAGGAAATAATTTCCGTATCAAATGAGGATTATACTTGTTAAACACTATTTTTACATCGATGACTTTTGCATTTCTTACTTATGACTGATCCTAAGTCTTATTTTATTATAAAAAAATATTCTTATTATTGACTTTGATCATATAACCTAAAAGGAATTTATATAAAACGGTATATGATGTTTAAACTTGCAAAATCATTACCATTTCAACAGACTCCCTGTACTTCAACCACGCCTTTGCCGACCACAGCCACTACTGAGCCGATCTTGAACACTACTAGACATTCACTCATTACTTTTGATAACCATAGTAATGGAAACGCCCAGGCGTGCTTCACGCTTACGAGTATTTGCTCTGCAATACTTATGGTTTACTTTCTCTATATGTAGCAGAGGTTATTAAAGGGAAGACAATCCGAATGGAAAACTAAGACGCTTGTAGGGAAATCCTTTTGTTAGAGATACAGGCTATTACGCATTGGTATTAAATGATAAATTCATGCATCATTACGTTGATTAGTAACGTGTTCAGTCATCACAATACCTACTTAAAATGAAAAGTACATGCTTCGATGTGAGGCATTTAATTAACACAAGTGTACAAGTGTACAAAACCACTTGGCAGTGAGCTTTCGAAAAACATATGAAATTAATTTTATAAACATGCCAATCCAATCGGCTATATATTGTTGGCACGATGGGGGTCACAAAAAGGCAGATAAAATCATCAGTAGAATAAGTTCCAGTAAAAGAATTAGTTATTCGCTTAAATATTATAGCTGACCATTTAATTAATCCTCCATCCATTTATATTTTCCCGAAAAGTTCGGACAATTTGTCACGTCATTAGGCCATTTTTGCACTGATTACGTTGCTGTATATGAAGCATCCATCCTATAATATAATGTTAATCATCAAATAATAATTCTATATGGAAAAGGAAAAGTTATCCTTTGTTTATAATTTAGCAAGTCGTAGTTAACAATTATAGATATATTGCATTATAGTGCATATATATTTAGAACAAGTCTACCAATAAGACTTGACCTTTGCTTTATGTTGACATTAAGTATATATAATTTTAGATTGTTTAAGAGGTAAAATAGAAGTCCTTATTGCTGATAGTGAGAACATGTGACCTATGAATTGATATAAAATAACTTAACATTACTGAAAAATGAAGCTTAATATTTGACATGTTACTTGTTTTTGTGTGTTATAAATTCCTATTCCTTTATATAATCATGTACATTTTATCTCAGCCAGACACAAATGATCTGGTGTACTTTCCTTTCCTTGAAGTAATAATATTTGCCAGTTGAACTACTTCTGCAGGCATATGCCAACCTGATCATTCGTTGTTTTTATGTATCGTGAGGAGTATAAAAGTATTAGCGAATCGCAATCAACAATACGTTTGACGATAAACTATGGGATGTAATTAGTACTTGATATAAATTTAGGATATTTTTATTGATAGTTATCGACACATATAATATTAATTACGCTAACTTTCTTTCTTTTTGTTTACTATACTGTGATACAAGTGATACTATGTAAATGTACTGACTTTATTTAATTTAAATGTATTTGTCATAGTCTTTTCTGTCATATAAATGTAGATTTAATCAACTAGCTACTATCTTACATATTTTGGGTTTTATTCATTTGTATATAACATTGTCTATATCTCAGTTGTATATAACATTGTCTATATCACAGTTGTTAACTGTCCATATTGTGTATGTTATATATATATATTGTGTTTTACAGGGTCATATTGTTAACTAGACAAATGTCTAAATATGTTACCTTGTCTAAAAAGAAGAATTTAAATTATATTATGCCTTCCATTAAATCATATTTTTAAGGGTGAAGAACATGTTTTCGATTATACAGAGTCTATTTATTCAAATGACAACCTTAACAGTCGAGTCGATACTAAAAATATAATCTTCTAACGAAACTTAACGTAGTTGATAATGACACGACTTGAAGCCAATGTCATGTCATAAGCTTCATCTTTTGGGAAAGCCGGTGATAAAAATAGCTCCGACCGAAATAGCGCAATATCCGGGCCTTTCAGTGAAAAGTATACATGTACAGCACTACGCTGTCGACAGACAACACTGTGTCAGTTATGCGTCTTTAATTTACACAATACATCTCAAGCAAGAATTTTAACTATCATAATATATACCTCTAATTAGATATTTCTGTTCACTGTTGGATTTGATTAAAAACGAACATGTTCAATTTAGAGCATGCACGCACTGAGAGGGTACCACAGGGAAAATTTCAAACCGCAGAGAGTACGATATCAATTGTAGTTTTCAACGTTAAATAGATAACGCATTTATAACGACGTTTAAGATGTTGTTGGAAGATGCTTTTGATTCATAATAAATGCATGTACTTGTATTCCAAAGACGGTAGGTGAATAAAGCGAGAATTAACCTTCACTCCTCGGCTGGAAAGACATCTATGTGTTAGCTAGAAATTCACCGACAGCTGCAGTTATTCAAAGCGTACGATTGTACAATTAAATTGTCCATTTAAACAAATTAACGAATTTCACGAACGAGTGACTACTTTGTAATGACACCGCTGAAAAAGATTTATTTAATATATCTCATGACAAAAAAATGCTATATCGCGCGTATAAAGATAAAGTGATGTCGCGTAATGATACTTACAGACAATTCATTTGTAAGTAATATTGAATTACTCTACTTTCGATTTCAATATCGCCTTGAATGAAACAGAATCAGGTTGGGCCCGTATTATTAGCAGAAAGCAGTGGTATTATTGTTATTGGTAATCTGACATCAAGATATCGGGTTTGTTCTAGAAAAAATACACACGATAGATTGCAACAGACAGTATAACATCGTTCGTCAGAAATTTCCGAAAATGAAGCCTACCTGTTCGTGATTTAGGACAGCTTTAGGCGAAGCGTCACACGCAGATCCACGGCGATTTTCTATTATTTTAAGAGAAAATTTGTAATTTTCACGACTTCTTACCGAACGGTATAAATATCTAGACGTGCGCAAGTCCACCAAAGCTTGCTTACTATAGAACGTGAAAGCAGGCCCTACATCGGGTGAAGAAATGACTTGCGACCGTGACTCCACGGGTTAATGGTGTAGCTCTATACTGCTGAAGCTATTATATGTGGCTCCTGATATGCTACTGCTGATGCTTACTTTGATTAAACGGATAAAAATTACAACCCCCCCCCCCCCCCCACTCCCCCAAAAAAATCCTTTTAATTACAAGACCCAGAGTAATAACTTTAGAATAAATAACGTTGACTCGGCCAAGATCATGTGAGTAAAATTAGTGAAAACCCTCCAACAAAAGTACCGAGTAATTATATTTACATAAAAGTTTGTTTCAATGGGGCCTTATAAATGCTTAAAGTATACGTGTAAATATCACAGATAGGATATGTGTTTGCAAACAGTTGGGCTATACAGGCCCACACCATTCAATGTTTCTTCCAGAAAAATGTGATACTTGGAATTGAATAGGTAGAAGAGTGGGCCTATCTCTATATTAATGAGCAACTTTTACATTGTGACTTGAGAGGTCAGACTGAAATTGTAAGAACTTTGAAAATCATGTCAATATACTATCATGATTGCATCAAGTGAAGGTTTTGCCTGCACCTTAAGCTTTCTATTAAAAGTTCATTTATTTATAATTGTTAAGTGTACAGTACGAGACGCTCAGTCCTTACAGTACTTTGATTTGAGAACATCTATTCGAATTATAGCTACGCAATGTGTTAAGTTTTGATATATATATATCCACAAGTCTCACAATTAATACTGTTCTCATAATAAATACTTCCGTGTCCTTTTCATCTACGTGACGAGCACATTTACTTCATAAAAAGTACTTTGTTCGATTCAGACAAAGAATTTGATTATTGAAGAAGTCTAAAAATAAGCATAATGTGTAGAGCTCTGTTACGTTTAATCTACTTTTTATTTGTTCTGTTATATCATTTTATTGTATAATATTTGTTCTAGATACATTTTTGGTGATTAACATGTTAATAAAAAATTACTTCATATTGGTATCTTTTTCTTGTCTTCTGTAATGAGCAATATAAGTTTACAGGCCTGCACTGCAAAGTAAGGGCACCTTGGTTTAATATTTATTTGCCCCCAAAAGATGTTATCCACTTATCAACAAACCCAAAAGTCACATGGTCAGATAGCATATGCAATGGGGTCAAATGAGTTTCATTGTTATATCACAGATGTCAGTACAACATATAAAGTGGTTATTTTGAACAGGAATTATATTTTGAAATGAAATTTTTAATAACATGGATCAGCATCTCAAGTATGTCAATATAGAATTTAGATATTTTTTTTTTTTGAATTAGAATATTTATATTTTCTCAATAGAAAATTCTGAACCAGCCAGATGACACGGTGTGCAGACCGGATGTCATATCTGTGCTTAAGTATAGGGCAATGTTTCCTCTTATCATAATTATTTTTAAATATATAAAACCAGTAGAAAGAAGGTAGCTACCCCTATGTTTCATTGTGCTTTAGCCATAGTGAGTTAGTTCCTGTTAATGAGAATACGTTAGTATTATGTCAATTCGAGCTGCTTCATTTTTGACTTGACTGATATAGTTGATAAATGGTGGCAATTCAAATGGTAATTAAAAAAACCAAACAAGTCTAGCAATATGTTTGAGCGAATTCAATTTGGTTTAATTTAATGTCAGTCGTAACAAAGATTTTAAGTTTCGTATTGACCTTTGTCTATTTCTTTTGTCTTTTTACTCAGTTTCGCTAAACAGCTATCCCATGCATATCTCTGGCCATGAAAAGACTATTTTCTTTCATTCCTTTCACCAGAAATGCAAAAAATGTAAAATAAAATAGCATTTGTCGTACTTTGTTGTTTCCGATTTCGTGACGTCCGTCATTGTTGTCCCATTATGACATCACACAGTTGAAATGGGATGTTTTTCAATCTTGTCATGGCTATTTTTGTCATATTCATATAGTAATGAGAGAAATATTCACGTGTCATCATGATAATAAATACGTTTGTAGATGAAATATTAAGTGGTCTTTTTGACGATAAGCCTGTGTGCATTTATGGATAAGATATGAAGTTGTGACAATAGATTTATACAGAAGTGTATCGCGGATAAGACATGAAGTAGTCCCGAAGACCTTGTTCAGATATAAGTACTAGAATTACAAGTTAGCATTTGTTATCACGATTCATGTTAGTTATATCATTACTGTTCGTGTACACATATAAAAATTGTGATATTAACATATGTATACTTTAATTTCTAGAAAGTTAGTTCACAATGGTATTATTATTCCTTCAAATCTGTTATTTTTCATTTTGGAAAAATTCATCCGTAGCAATCGATGCATCTGATCTGAATATAAAGTCAGGGTTATTGATATATATTAGGATTCAATGCTTGGTATAAAGCTCTATAATTGACCAATTCAAGGTACGGCAAAATCATCTGCTATGGAGAATGAAATACCTCCATTGTTACCGTTACTGTATAGAGAGTGATTGCGACTGATTGTATTGAGGAAAGTCTGCTTAGTAGCAGTTTCCTGTAGTCATTTTATCTCCAACTGAATATATATCATGAATTGAAATGTTCAATGATTAACAGAGTGTATGTGCAGCGGCACTCTTTATACTATTGACATGTTATTGAACGATACGATTCAAAAACTGATATGTCCAACATACAATAACGTTTATGGAAACAAATGGATTTCTGAAATATGGTGAGTCTAAACTCCAAATAATATAGTAAATGTTCTCTTGATGACTCTTTAAACTGATCGCGGTATTGAAATTTTTGCAATTGCAACAATTCTGAAATATATTTATTCCATTTACCAAGAATATGTCAAATCTATCAATGCTTATTCGCGTATAATATTTTTGAACTAATTTACTTACCGCAAAAAAACCCTAAGCTTTATGCATAACGAAGTTTCCACTTAAACAGTACTACAAAAGTCAAATGAAGCTAGACAACCAAGTCTCACAGTTATCACACAGCTGTAGTTATTAATAAAACCGGGTCTGTATACGACTGGATCCAGAGGAACGTCCGAAGCTCGGATAACCTCTGCTATGCTCCCAATAGGTGTATCGCCTGTAGTAGTTATCCTCAACCTCCCGTGTATCTGAATATTGCTTCCTCTTTTTTGCCGCGGCACTGAAACAAAATTTGTTTAGAAATAGATAATCGATTTATAAGTGTTCTATTGATATATCGACCCTTGTGGTGACGTTTATTTTGAGGCACTTTATTGCGTTATGGCTCGCACTGATGCAACTCATGATCTGGTATCAATATTTAACCAGAGCTGGCACTTATGAATTGGTTGACATCCCGCTACTGTACCCAACATATCACATATATAAGATTTCATGAACTTGCATGAATAAGTGAAGAATCTAAGGTCGGAAACGAATTTCGTTTGATGCTCAATGGAACAAATAACAAATTGGTCACCTTTAGACAGTGCAGGATACATCGTCATCTAAAGTACACTTTAAGATGAAATTAAGTCAACCAGCAGCATGGAAATACTAGGAAACTATAACCAGAATACAATATCAAAGAGGACACAGATAATTAATGCTATATACTATCCTCTTTTTTCAAGCAAGCTTTGCATCCGATTTTAGATCGAAACACTAAGACCAAATCGAAATTTGATTTCAATACAAAAAGCATAAATGTTAAAAAAAAATGATCAAACAAAAGGGGGAAAAAAGTTTTGTTGTTTAAAAGGTCGAAACTCATTTTATTGTCATTCATAACGCACATATACATGTAACACACTTTGAATTTACAAGAGATTATCTTAAGATGTTACATGTAAGATTATAGTTCTATACATTATAAAAGTTATATTACATCTAGATTTACATTATATTTACTGATATTTATACACATGTACTATTGAACATAAGATGTAAATCTTAACTTGTCTTAACTCAGTATTAATTGGTACAAAGATTACTTAATAAATAGACAAAAAGTACAATAAAATACATTCATCAATACATTACTAAAAGTTTAAAATAGAAAACTGTACCTATTTGTGGAACAGGGCCATTTGAAGTCGTACGGAATTATCCGAGGTTTTTACGTGTACTCGTAATTTCTGTGTGACAAAGAAATACGTATATTTATAAAAGCACAGGTAAAATGACGCAGTATACATATACAGTACATGTCATAACGAATTAAGAATTAGTATGATCGTATCTATCAATTTGACAATATAAATGGAAGCAGATGATTTAGAAATAGAAGTATTAATTTGTACAAGTAAGTCATGTAGTCTGATAAATATCACGCCAAAACCACCGGTCACACAAAGAAGACAAAGAAAACCTTGACCATTGGCTAATCCAAGAGGTGACAACGGGATAACTTACAAAACTGACCAATGATAAAAATACATATAACCAGAGACGTATTACACGTCTCTGATATAACCAAACCAATCCAAGAGGCCAAAATAAGGAAATAACTATACCACAATATACAGATCGTTAATACTACACCAGAACGTAATATTATAATAAAACATAAATAAAGATATCACAAACATCGTCTCTGCTACATAACCAATAACACTAAGGTAATAAGCAGACACAGTAAATCACACCATTCCAAACGCGTTAAATATTTTTTCAAGTTTTATTTTCTGGAAGAGTTACTTCCCCTTGATTAAGAACATATTCAAGTTTATTTCAATATTTTTTAAACCGTAAAATTCAAGTATGAATACATGGCACGCTGTCAGATCAATACGAACTTGAGAACGATGTAAAAGAAGGAAGCGTTATTCACCAACATTATTGAATATATATTTAAACTCGTTAACTGATACACTTTATAACCAAACACACTTTTGACGACGAATGCATTTGGAGAACCGGGAAGACTAATAGGTACCTAACTAAACATATCCAAAACACCTTAACAGCAATTGACGAGTAGGCAAATAAACGGGGATTTAAACCATTTAAACAAAAGACCGTAGCGATGTGTTCAAGAGTTATATTTAGGCCAAACAAAAGGAAAATTTGAAAGCAAGTGAAATATTTAGGCATGATAATAGACCACAAAATAGGATTGAAAAAAATTACATCAGCTATGTTAAAGAGTCATGTCAGAAAGCGATAAACACAATTCGATACATTTCAGGTTGCAAATTTGGCGCCAATAAACAACATAACTAATATTTTACACAGCTCTAGTTACATATAGAATAGACTATGGTTCCAACGTATATAATGCACCGCCTGTGACTCTGTATGAAAACATCTAGACTAAAAACAGCACACAGCACTAAGAGTAGCCCGCCGAGCCATTAAGAATACTAATATAGATAGCCTACTAGCAGAGGCAGGTGAACTTCTATTAACTTTTCGGCGGGGAAATCTTACGCTAATTTATTGGGCTAGAACAAAGCACCACGGTGAAAAAATCCTTTTTATCAGTCATTTACAACTAGTCCAGCAACCCTCATTAAGACGAGAGTACCGTATCATTCAGAAATGCATAAGCTGAACAGTAATACGATGTGGATAATGTTAAAACATACCGTAAAACTGAATTCCAGGTTCCATGGATTAAAACAGACGCGAACGTAATACTCGACTTACTCAAAATCATAGATAAACAAAAGGACCCAATTACAGCAAACACATTACTCTTAAACTTAATGATGACAAATATGCAAATTTTACTCAATTTTATACTGATGGTTAAAAAACTCCAGCTAATGAACGAGTAGGGTTAGGCATTTATAATAACTACTTCAAAATAAACAAGTCACTGCGTATAAGCGACAGAACATCAGTATACACAGCAGAACTAATGGCTATTTAAGTTACACTGATAGGCGTTATAAAATAATAAATTCAACCGAAATGTTGTCATTTCGGACTCGCTCAGCATGCTTCAATCAATTACATTAGGTAATAGCAGTAGACCAAAATTACTCAGCGCCACTCAATTAATGATCACAAAAATAAGC